GGCCTGCAGGCGCGCCTCTGCCCCCTCCCCCACCCCCGCTCGGTCTTCAGTCGGCGCCCCTCGGCTTGGTCATCCAGCCGCGTCTCTAAAGAGTGACCCCTTCACCTTTATCGAGTAGCCCCTGTGTGCGCCTAGCGTTTCCCAGGCAGCCTTTTCCTCACCGCGAGCCCCTGAGGTAGGATTATCGGCTCCATTTTATAGATGAAGAAACTGAAGCGCAGAGAGAGAGAGGGGTCCGGTGACTGATGCCAAGTCGCCCAGTGAGTTGATGGTGAGGCCAGGGTTGGAACCCGACTTTTATTTGAAAACTGGGTTACTAGGGAAAAAAGGACTTTGTACCCTCCGAGGGCACCTATGAGCTCCCTGACCCATAGAAAAAGTGTGGAAGGACGAGGATACCGTGAATAGAACCAGATCTCAGGCCCTAGCCGGCTTGGCTCAGTGGATAGAGCGTCCGCCTGCGGACCGATGGGTCCCAGGTTCGATTCCGGCCGGGGGCACATTCCTGGGTTGCGGGCTCCATCCCCGGTGCGGGGTGTGCAGGAGGCAGCCGATCAGTGATTCTCATCATTGATGTTTCTATCTCTCCTTCCCCTTCCTCTCTGAAATCAATAAATATATATATATTTAAAAGCCAGTGGATAGAGCGTCCGTAAAAAAAAAAAAAAAGCCGTAACCGGTTTGGCTCAGTGGATAGAGCGAGAGCGTCGGGTGGACTGAAAGCTCCCAGGTTCGATTCCGGTCAAGGGCATGTGCCTTGGTTGCGGGCACATCCCCAGTAGAGGGTGTGTAGGAGGCAGCTGATCGATATTTCTGTAAAAAATCAATAAAAAAAAATTAAAAAAAAAAGAACCAGATCTCAGACAGAGATATCCCCGGAGTTTGGATGTGGTGCCATTTGTTCCAGGTTTAGTCCCAGAGGAGGGTGGGAGAGGAGGGTGGGGTAGGGACCAGCTGCCCTTCCCCCGAGGAGAAACTGAATCAGATTAGGGTGTCCCCGAGGCCTTTTGACAAGATGGGGGCCCGGAAGAGCCGCGGACTTGCATTCTCCTCAGCAGTTACTTCCCGTTAGACCTGCCGAGCGCCTCCTTGGGGCCTGCCTTTTGCTTGACTGTGACGTTATGAGGGACAGCCCCTGCCTGGGGAAAGGGTTTATTCATTTTCAGGTTGGGGAAGACTAGAGCAAAATGTACTTTTAATATATATATATTTTTGTTGATTTCAGAGAGGAAGGGAGAGGGAGAGAGATAGAAACATCAGTGATGAGAGAGAATCATTGTTCGGCTGCCTCCTGCACGCCCCCTACTGGGGATCCAGCCCACAATCCAGGCATGTGCCCTTGGCCGGAATGGAAGCCAGAATCGAACCTGGGACCCTCCAGTCTGCAGACCAACGCTCTATCCACTGAGCCAAGCCAGCTAGGGCCAAAAGGTACTTTTAACACAGAACCATACCAGGCAGATAGGAACAAGTCCTGAGTTGAATCGACTGACGCCAAAAGCCATTTTACAATATTAGGCACTCTGCAAATACGAGTTGGCTGACTGGATGTTTGTTTTATCCACTAGGTTCTGAGTTTCAAAGAGGGCACTTTATGCCCACACTAGCACTGGACCTGCCATGAAGAAATGCTCAAAGATTGAATGAGAATAAATTTTATTTTATTGATTTTATTTTTTAGAGAGAAAAGAAGGGGAGGGGGGAGAGAAGCATCAATGCGAGAGAAACATCGATTGGATGCCTCTTGCACACCCCTTACCGGAATCAGCCGGTAACCCGGCCCTGTACCCTGCCTGGGAATCCAGCGGTGCCTCTCGGTGCATGGTGCGCTGCTCAACCAACCGAGCCACACGGGACAGTGGGAAGAATAATTATTTTAAAATATAGGATGCCCGCCCCCCCTGGCTTGGCTCAGTGGTTGAGCATCGACCTGTGGACCAAGCAGTCAAGGGTTCGATTCCCGGCCAGGGCGCATGCCCTGGTTGTGGGCTCGGCCCCCTACTAGAGGTCGTGCAGGAGGCAGCCAATCAATGATTCTTTCTCATTGATGTTTCTCTCTCTCTCCCTTCCTTTCTGAAATAAATAAAAATGTATTTAAAAAATATATGAATGTATATGAAGCCCTGGTGATGGGGTGGCTCAGTTGGAGCATTGTCCTATACAACAGAAGGTTGCAGGTTCAATTCCCGCTGAGGTACTCACGGGAGGTGCAACTGATGGATGCTTCTCTCCCTTTCTCCCTTTCTTTCTCCTTCCTCTCCCTCTCCCTCCCCCCTCCCTCTCCCCTCTCTCATTCTTCCCTCCCCCCTCCCCCTTTTTCTCTAAAATGAATAAAAACATATCCTTGGGTGAAGATTTTAAAAAAAGGAAAATATAGGATATAATGAATGCAGTTGGTAGGCCGGTAATTGATTTGGTTGTGGCCAGGTGGTTTAGCTATAGTTAAGAGATGAGAGAGAATCATTGACTGGCTGCCTCCTGCACAGTGGTGGCCCTTCATCCTGTCTTTAGTATCTTTAGAACATTCTCTGAATTTCCCTAGTCTCCCATTTTACCTGATGAGACCAAAAGACCTCAGACATGTACATCAAGTTTTTTATACCTATAGAAAAAGATATGGAAGGATGAGTATGCTCTTATGGTAAATCTGTAACAGATAAACTGAAAACTTGTGGATGTAGATTACTGCGTGAGTAACACCTTTGTATTGAATTTTTAATTTTGGGGGTTCACTTTCAAATACTGGAGTTTACAAAGTACTCCCCGACACAAGCTCTAAAAGACAGGGTTTATTTTGTTTCTCATTCCTTCAGAGAACATAATTTGATCCAGAGGGTTTGGTAGAATTTTTCAGTGTAGCATTCAGCAAGGCTTGTTAATATACAACTTTGTATTTAGATTTGTTTATTTACGTTTAAGTTTTTTTGTGTGTTTTTTTACGTTTAAGTTTTAATGTGCCTTTTATTTTTGGTATGTCAGTGTAGTAGCAGACTAACTCCTGTAGTTTTGTGAATTTCAATGTAATTATTCAGGAGGGCAACTGGTCATCAACCTGTAAGTACTTGTTGAATGTGCTAATATATCGCTAAGCACTTTGAGGGAAATATTAGAGGGAGAGGCAGTTCCATCTTCAGAGATCTTAGGGTTGTTAGGGACATAGGAATAACCCATATGAAAATCCTATATAATAAAAGTGTAGTTTGCAAATGGTCCCCTTGACGGAGTTCTTCCAGGAGGTAGACCAGGGGGTGGGCTGCCAGGGGAAGGGAGGGAGGCCCCAGCTGGCTGGCAGCCGCTAGGGACCCTACCAGTACATGAATTTCATGCACTGGGGCTCTGGTTGTTAGATATCTGAGTTGGAATAGTAGATGATTTTTTCTCATCTGCTTTCTTGAGCTATTTTTCTTATGGGAGAATATATTGCCTAGGGCAGTGGTTGGCAAACAGCGACTCACAAGCCACATGCGGCTTTTTGGCCCCTTGAGTGTGGCTCTTCCACAAAATACCACGTACAGTGCGATTGAAACTTCGTAGCCCATGCGCAGAAGTCGGTTTTCGGCCTGGGAGAGTCTATTTTGAAGAAGTGGCGTTAAAAGAAGTGGGGGGTGTCGGTTGGTCGGGCGACAGGAGACTCGGCGCAGGCAGGGGAGGTACATTGTTTTGAGGTACGTTCGCTGAAGTCGACCCCTTCCAACTCTCCCATCCACGGTCGTCTATCTGAAACAACTATACAAGATGAGTGTGGATGGGAGAGTTGAAAGGGGTCGACCTCAGCAAACATACCTCGATCAGATTGAGGACATTTTTAGCAAAGGCCAGCTTAGGAGTACTCTAATTAAGTTAATAACAATGTACCTACCTATATAGTTTAAGTTTAAAAAATTTGGCTCTCAAAAGAAATTTCAATTGTTGTACTGTTGATATTTGGCTCTGTTGACTAATGAGTTTGCCAACCACTGGCCTAGGGAGATCAGGTTGAAAAATAAAAAGTTGAGAACCATTGGAATAAATGCCGTGAAGCTGATTTCGTTGTAAAGTGTGCTTTGGAATTTAGTAGTATAGTGTTTTCAAAACTTTTGATTGTAACTCATGGTAAAAATTACATTCTACATAATGACTTAGTAAACACATCCATGTATATGTACACATACATAAAACTGAAACAAAAGTTTGCAAAATAACACCTTCTAAAGCACCCATTTGCACTCTGATCATCTCTCTTCTATTCCAGGTTCTTTATCTCCCTTTCCTCCCTCATCTCCTTTACAATCCACTGTATTATTTTACAAATCTGTGTGGATATTGTGCTGGGCACTGAGGTTAGAGTGGTAAGTAGGCAGACATAGTTTCTGCTCTCAGAGATATTGAATTCATGATTCCCATTTAAAGAAAGTTGTTTTATACCTAACTGTATTTCTCAACCAAAATCCTAGGATGTAAAGCAGATTACATCTGTTGTGGACAACTAACCCAAGATACTTGACCAGTACTATATGGTCTACATGTTCATATCCCCTTTTTTTCTTTAGTTCCTTTACTTCAGTTCCCTCCTACCTCACAAATTTTCCCTTTTTTCCTTCAGTTTCTTCTGTTTCAAGTAATAGCAGAGGCCAAACACTCACTATAATAATTCTTTCTTGCCTTAATTTCTGTCTAGGAAGATTATTCAATATTGGGCATCATTTTTAAACCTTCAAGGTCAAAATGTACAACTGGTTACACACATAGTCAAGGATGTAACACATTAAGCGCCCTGTCAATCACTGGTGACTGACACCATACTTTCCATCGGGAAGACAAAACAGACTGGGTGCTTTACATGTTAATACCTGGCTATGTCTACCTCAGTAAAGATACCAGATTTGGAAAAATACTCTTTCCTTTATTTACAGTAAATGAATACATAATCAGACAGTAAACAACTTGAAGGGAAATTGCTGGGGCTACTGCCAAAACAGGAAAAAACTTTAAATTCCCTTGTACAATTATTTTAGACAATAGAATTACTCTTGACCATATCCTAGCTAATCAAGGTGGGGTTGCACTGTTAATATCTTTTATTGTACTTAAATAAAACACCTCTGGTGAAATAAAGATGGAATTAGATAAAGTCTGGACACAAGCCAAATGATTAAATACAGAGCTCATTGACACTTCATGATTCTCTAATATCTTAAGCTGACTGCCATCAGTATTGCCTCCTGTTTCAGATCTAGTCTGCAAATTGGACTTAGCATTTTGTTTATTACAGGGATTTTTGCCATTATAAAACTTTCTTCTGCATAGCTTGATGTTATAAGGACAGTAAGCACTCTGATAATGGGTGCTCAACATTCTGAGGTCTTTAAGGCGAATGAAACTTCATAGGAGAAACCTAAAGAACTATAGAAGATGTTTGCCCTTAAACATGATAGTAAAGTCTTCCTTTCTCTGGCTTTTGAGGCTGGGTTGGAGCATGGATTTGATTCCCAGACAGTGCACATATCCAGGTAGTGGGTTTGGGGTGCATAGGGGAAGCAACTGATTTATAATTCTCTCCCCCTCTCCTCTAAAATAAATTGTTACACTGTAAATTGTTAAAAAGAAGAAGAAAAAGACCTCTGCTTTAGTGCTCTTGTTGCTCAAATGCGGCCTAAGGCTCCTAAGAAAAAAGAAAACCGCTTTCCCTGTTAGGGTTGCTGAAGGAGGAACACACGGGGCCAAAAGTGGTAAAGAATTTATAAATTTACTAGAGGCCTAGTGCACAAATTCGTGCACATGTGGAGTCCCTCGGCCTGACCAACGATCGAGACCAACGGGGGGCCAGCCGGATGGGGGGAGGAACCCCAGGAGGTTGGCTAGCTGGCTGGGGGGAGGGACCACAGGAGGTTGGCTGTGGGAGTGCACTGACCACCAGGGGCAGCTCCTGCATTGAGTGTCTTCCCCCTGGTGGTCAGTGTGGGTCATAGTGACTGGTTGACTGGTCATTCCGGTTGTTTTGGTCATTTGGTCGTAATGGTCGCTTCGGCTTTTATATATATAGATTGTTACATCTGTGAGTAGAAGGGCTGAGACCAAAATGCATCATCAGAGCAGAGTAGGGGGAGTGGGATATTTATGTCTCTTGTAAAGGTCAGTCAGAGTAACCTGTAGGGCCTGGTGTAGGCAGTCCACTGGAAACTGGGTGAGGCAATTCACTGGAAACTGAAGGCCGTTAATGAAACCTATAATTAGAATAACAGGAAAATCTCATGGAGCACAAGGATGTGTCTAACATTCCAGGGCGGGCCAAGAACCCCAAGTGGGGCATAATGAAGTGCAAGAATGTGCCTAACATTTCTTCCTAAATGGGACATGACATACTGGATATGAATCTTCCTGGCAACAAGGGGCCAGTGTTGCTTTTCATTTTCCATGTCGTTTTTAGTTTTTGAGATCATTTTCCATTTTTGACATCATTTCATTTTTGATGATGCTTTTAAGGAAGGATCTTGATCAAAAGGGGAAAATGTGAAAAATAATATAAATGGAGCCTTTTTATTTTTAAAATATATTTTTATTGACTTGAGAGAAAAAGAGAGGGAGAGAGATAGAAATGTCAATGAGAAAAGAAAATCATTGATTGGCTGCCTCCTGCATCCCCCCTACTGGGGATCGAGCATATAACCCAGGCATGTGCCCTTGGCTGGATTTGAATCCGGAACCCTTCAGTCTGCAGGCCAACACTCTATCCACTGAGCCAAACTGGCTAGGGCATAAATGCAGCCTTTTTAAAATGGAGTTGGAGCTGCCATCCAGAGCAACTGCCTTGTGCATCTTATTCTTCAAACCTTTGGGGTGTGAAAACAGGGCAAAATAACCTTTGGACTGAGTCTAAAACAACATTGTATCCCAAACAACTGTTATCAAAGATAACAAAACATGACTACAGGATAGAAAATAAACATTGACTTATTTATTTTTTTAATATATTTTATTTATTTTTTACAGAGAGGAAGGGAGAGGGATAGTCAGAAACATCAATGAGAGAGAAACATCCATCAGCTGCCTCCTGCACACCTCCTATTGGGGATGTGCCCACAACCAAGGTACATGCCCTTGACTGGAATTGAACCTAGGACCTCTTGGTCCACAGGCTGGCGCTCTTTCCACTGAGCCAAACCGGTTAAGGCGGAAGATGATTTTGATATGTAATAAATCCAAAATTGATAATTACCCTATGAGAGTATTTAAGCCAACTTTATCATGTTGGTGTTAGAATGGAAACAGGTTTGTAAGTCATTTAGCAATCAATAAATACTTGACTACCTACTATGTGCTAGGCCAGTGGTCGGCAAACTGCGGCTCTTTGGCCCCTTGAGTGTGGCTCTTCCACAAAATACCGACTTCTGCGCAAGAGGCACGAAGTTTCAATCGCACTGTACATGCGCACCCGCACGTGGTATAAGTGCTTAGCTAAGATGGAAAAGGCATTACATTTGTGGATGGAAGACGAACAAAAAACGTGTTCTGATTGATGTCAGCATGTTGCTCCAGAAATCATCAAGCTTATACAAACATTTCAGCAAGGCATCTGTAAAACAAGTGGCACCACATCCTTTATTGCAATTAATGGATGGTTATGCAAATTTAAGGATATGTTTGGACTGAAAAATATAAAAATTATCCAAAAGGCTGCATTTCCTGATAAGCTGCTGCCGCCACATTTCCTGCAGTGTTAAAGAAGTTGGTTGAGAAGAAAGGTAAGTATGTAGAGGAAAAAAACATACAGGGAATGCCCCCCAAAATGTAAACATACTTTAAATAATTATAAAGGCAGTTTTATTAAAATACATTTCTTTTCAAAATGTAATAAAAATCAGCTGTTAAAGTGTGCATACATTTATGGGGGATACCCTATATATAGTAGGGCTTGGTAATGTCTGGTTTCAGGCATTCACTGGGGGTCTTGGAATGGATAAGGGGGGGACTACTATAAAATGTAGAGTATGTCATGATAAGTGCTATGGAGAAAAATAAAGCATAGAAGGAGGAGGAGGAGGAGGCTGTGTTTGGGGTATTAAAATTTAAAATAGCGTGATCAGGGAAAGCCTCATTGAGAAGATTATATTGAGCAAAGACCTGACATCAGTAGAAATAGCAAGGAGGCCAGTGTAAAGTGAGGAAGGTGGAAGAGTAGGAAGTGAAGTGAGAGGAAAAGAGGTATACAGGGCAGGTTTAGGAATCTGCATTATTGTAATAATTTTTCATTTGATTCTGAAGGAGATGATCAACCACTATTGGGAATTTGGAGGGGGTAATGACATGACTTTGATGTAAGGTGGTTTTTTTTTTCTCTTTGATGTAAGTTTTAAAGAATAATTCTGGCTGCTATATGGGACAAGGGGAGAAACAGATCAGTCATTTGGGAAGTTATTGTAAGAATCCATCTAATTTATAATGAAAGGGAAGAGAAGATTTTCAGAATAGAATTCCTACTCTTTGAAGATACATAAATAATATCTTGATGAATCTACTGGGGGGCTGAATCTTTTAATAGCATTCTATGTTGGTCAATTTTAAAAGTTCATGTATTGATTACATTTGATTCTTTTACATTGCTATCTTAATAAGTGCTAACATGAATTGTATGGTTTGATTCTTCAGATGGCCGCCAAGAACGGGTCATGTTCGACAAAATTACATCTCGAATCCAAAAACTTTGTTATGGACTCAATATGGACTTTGTTGATCCTGTAAGTAAATATGGTTTATATCTTGGGTTTCTTGCTTCAAGTGATTCTTTTTACTTATTTCTTATCTCTGGCCTTTCTTTCACTTCATATATATTTTGATTTGGGGTATTCTGCTTATGATCTTGGGTTTAAATGTTAACACATTGCTCAAATTTTTTTTTTTTCCTAAATTTTGGTTCTGGGCTCTGAATTCTGACTTTTCAGAGAACTAAAAAGTGAACAGAGGAAAACTTGACATTGACATTTTGTTAGAGACATCTTTGAGTAAATTGTTTTATTTATAAGAAAAAAAGCCTGTAGTAAAGCTTGTTCTGGAATTGTGATCATTTGGGTAGAAACTGGTTTGAAATTTGCTTTTTTGTTATCTATGTAGAAAGAATGCATTTAAGTAATATAAAGTAGATTTCATGGGTAACATTTAAATTAAGGAAAACAAACTATTCATAAGCAAGTCATTCTTCTTTTCTTACCTTCTATAACTCCTCTACTCTAGACCCTCATCATCTCTTACCTAGACTGCTGTCTCTAGTGGTCTCTAAAGTATCCTCCTGGTCTTCCTCTAATCTTGCCCCCTTCAAATGCATCTTCCCCATGACTTCCAAAATCATCTTCCTAAAATGGAGTCTTTAAGACACTTTTTTCCAAACCCACTCATGTTGCTTCAGCCTTATTTAGGTATATTATCTCTACTTCTATAGCACTTGTGCTGGCCTGATAACATTGACCACATAATATGGAAATTAATTACATATGTCTCTCTTCTCCCCTCCAATTGAGGGTGGGTTGTATCTTATTCTTGTGGTATCCACAGTGCGTGGCACATATATAACTAGACACTTGATAGTGAATTGACCAAATGGTCAAAAGAAAATAATTTTATACAACCTTAAAATGTTTTTATTACAAATTGTCTTTTACTTTTAGGAATTCTAGACAATAATTAGAATAGTAGAATGTTAAAGTTGGAATGAACCTGAGAGATCATCCTATTTCATCTTCTTTACTTTGTAGATAAGTAAGGACCAAAGAGAAAGGGGAGTTACTTATATAAGCTAGTGGGGTTGTAACGAGAACAACTGAGGTCTCCTGACATAAGATATTCTACTAGTATTGCCTCATGCAGTACCACATTTCACAGTACAGGGTGCTGCTGTAGCAGACTCAAGCTTTCTGGGGTAGATTCAGCTGAAATAGTCTGTATACTATTATATCTGGCACTGTTAGCATACAGATGTTATTTTATTCTATGTTTTGATTACTTGCCGTGTAGCATCAGAAACTATTCAGAAGACTTCACTATTTTTTAAAAAATTGTTGACACTCTTACAGGTGTCTCCCATTTTCACCCCCTTTACCCAGCTTCACCCAGCCTCCACCCCACTGCCTTTGGCCATCACCACACTTGTCTGTGTCCATTGGCTATGCATATATGTTCTTTAGCTAATCTTTTTACTTTCTTTCATCCAGCCCCCCAACCATCACTCCCTCCCCCTGCCCTCTGACCTCTGTCAGTCTGTTTCATGTATCCATGCCTCTGGTTCTATTTTGTTTGTCTGTTTATTTTGTTCATTAGATTCCACATGTAAGTGAGATCATATGGTATTTGTCTGTTGGTTTATTTCGCTTAGCATAATAATCTCCAGGTCCATCCATGCTGTTGCAAAAGGTAAGTTCCTTTGTTTTTTTTTATAGCCACATAGTATTTCCCCAGTTTTTTTGTTTGTTTGTTTTTCCCCAGTTTTTTTATCCAGTCATCTACTGATGGGCACTTGGGCTATTTCCAAATCTTGGATATTGTAAATAACACTGTTATTTATATAGGGATGCATGTATTCTTTTTGATTGATGTCTCAGGATTCTTAGGATATATTTCCAGAAGTGGGACCACTGGGTCAAAAGGCAGTTCATATTTAATTTTTTGAGGAAACTCCATACTGTTTTCATTAGTGGTTGCACCAGTTTGCATTTCCACCCGCGTTGTACAAGGGGTCCCTTTTTTCTACATCCTCACCAACACTTGTTTGTTGATTTATTGATGGTAGTCATCCTGGCAGGTGTGAAATGGTATCTCTTTGTGGCTTTAATTAGCACCTCTAATGATTAGTGAAGTTGAGCATTGAATTGTTTATCTTCCTGGTGAGTTGTATAATTTTTAATATATTTTGGAAATGAACCCCTTATCTGATGTATCATTGACAAATATGTTCTCCCATACAGTGGGTTCCTTTTTCATTTTGTTGATGGTTTTCTTTGCTGTACAGAAACTTTTTAGTTTGATGTAGTCCCATTTGTTTATTTTTTCTTTTGTTTCCCTTGTCCTAGGAGATATAACAGCAAAAATATTGCTACAAGACATATCTGAGGTTTTACTGCCTATGTTTTCTTCTGATTTTTATGGTTTTGCGACTTAACCTTTAAGTCTTTTGTCCATTTTGAGTTTATTCTTGTTTATGGTGTAAGTTTGTGGTCTAGTTTCATTTTTTGCATGTGCCCGATTTCACTACTTTTTTACTGAACATAATTTGACTGCAGAATCTGAGAAAAAAGTGATCAGGAGCAACTTGATCCTAGGTAAAATGTAATTAGAATAGATTGTAAGCTAATAATGACACTTTTTTGAGGGGGTCATGTTTTGGTCAACTGGGCAATACATTTATTTTCTGTTGGATTAAGCTTTTTTATGGAAACATTTAGTGAACACATATACACAATTTAGTGTTTGTTTTTCTTAAAAATGTATGGTAATGTGTACATTGTGCATTTTTATATATGTGTGTACATATATATGTGTATATATATACACACACACACACACACACACACATATATATATATATATACACACATGTATATACTTATATATATATTTATTGATTTCAGAGAGGCAGGGGAAGGGAGAGAGAGATAGAAACATCAGTGATGAGAGAGAATCATTGATCGGCTGCCTTCTGCACGCCCCACACAGGGGATTGAGCCCGCAACCTGGGCATGTGCCCTGACGGGGAACTGAACTGTGACCTCCTGGTTCATAAGTTGCCAACCACTGAGCCACGCTGGTTGGGCTACAGTGTGTATTTTTGAAAGGGGAACCTCTTACAATATGGTCTTGAAAACTGAAATATAGTAAGGTTGAATGGGATGAGAAAGAAGACTTAGATGGTAACCTTGGGCAAGTCCAAGTAACCTGAGCCTCAGGTTTCTCATGTAAAATGGTGATAGGAATAGTATCCATTTCACAAGGTGATTGTGAAATGTCAGAGATTATGAAAGTTGAGACACTTTGTAATTTGTGAAGTGCTAAAGAAAGAGTATTAAATTATAGATTACTCAGCTCCAATCCTAATTTATACCTTCATCTCTAATTGGAATGATTAAAGTTTGATTCATTTACTTTCCTGTACTTGTCTGTAGGTAGATTTTGGGGGAAGTGGGTAAGTATGTAGCTGGAACCCTGATTACTTAGGGAGAATTTGAATTAAAAATGGGGAAATACTTAAAGAATCACTGGGCTGGTATGGCTCAGTTGGTTGGGCGGCATCCCATGCACCAGGAGGTCAGTTAGACTACCGGTCAGAGCACATGTCTGGTTGAGGGCTTGATCCCCAGTAGGGGGTGTGCAGGAGGCAGCCAATCAATGATTCTCTTTTACCATTGATGTTTCTCTCTCTCTCCCTCTCCCTTCCTCTCTGAAATCAATATAAATATATTTAAAGAGAAGAAAAAAAAAAGAATCACTGCTCTGTTTTTAGCTGTTTCCGTGTGAGGCTGTTCATCTTTGTCAACTATGAAATACCTATACTTAGGTATTTTAAATTTTTTTATTATTTTTTTTAGTGACACCTCTTCATTGTGTATGTAGTATGCATTTTCTGGCAGTTCTGTTGGTTTATGAATTCTCATGAGGTTTCCCGTTGCTAACCATTCTAAAAGTTTTTGTTTTGTTTTTTTTAAAAAAAGGAAGTTGACTGTTTTATTTTGATAAACATTTGGTTGTTTTCTTTATTGCCATCCTAAGGAAGCTATTGTTTTTTTGGAAAGCTCAAGTAATTCTTGGTTTTGTTTTTATAGGCTCAGATCACCATGAAAGTAATCCAAGGTTTATACAGTGGGGTCACTACTGTGGAACTAGATACTTTGGCTGCTGAAACAGCTGCAACCTTGACTACTAAGCACCCTGACTATGCCATTCTGGCAGCAAGGATTGCTGTCTCTAACTTGCACAAAGAAACAAAGAAAGTATTCAGTGGTGAGTCTAGAGGAAAGATTAGAAATAATTTAATATTCCTAGAAAATTTATAAGGGTACTAGAATGACAGAAGAAAAGTTACATCTTGTTTTTAAAAAGCAAGTTAGTGGCAGAGGGGGCACTAGAACTTCCCATTTCTCATGCTGCTGACTTGCTGAATGGAAAGGTCAGTGGATCTTTTTGTTTTCTCGTATGCACGCTTTTTTTTCTTTCTTTTTGAAGCCCATTTTGAAGTAGTTGGTGGTACTGTGCTTGGAAAAATGAGTAGCACATATTGACAAGTTCTGCATTAAACAAAATGGTGCAGTTAATCTTGTGTCCTATTAGCAAATACTTTACTCCGTTGCTGCCATTTTATAGCTCAGGGAATGTGGGCAAGGGAAAGTTAAATAATTTGTTTGGTATATAAAAAGTGGTATATAGCCATAACCAGCTTGGCTCAGTGGATAGAGCGTCGGCCTGCGGACTGAAGGGTCCCAGGTTCGATTCCAGTCAAGGGCATGTACCTTGGTTGCGGGCACATCCCCAGTGGGAGGTGTGCAGGAGGCAGCTGATCGATGTTTCTCTCTCATCGATGTTTCTAACTATCTCTCTCCCTTCCTCTCTGTAAAAAATCAATAAAATATATTTTTTTAAAAAAAGTGGTATATAAGAAGTCAGATAGTAAGACGATGACCGAAATCTTTGGCTCTTGACTCCAGATCTATTGTGCTGGGCCTCAAACAGTGTATTCTCCCTCTTTAGTAGATTTATTGTAAACATATCAGTTCTCCCAGAATTGTATTGATACATACAAGTCCATTCCAATAAAAATGCCAACATTGTGAGTGTGTGTGTGTATTACATATAAATACAGAGAGCCAATTAATGCTATGATGTCTTAAAGAAGAGCAAATGAGAGAGCTTACTAAATGTGCATTTACAGATGTGAACTGCTTAGTATGACAGATTCTGAATTTCAAGTTCAAATTTTATTAGGGCAAAAAATTTGAGAAGAGATTATAATTTCTGCTTTTTAAGAAAATTTTCAACCAATAATTCTCAATGGGGTTGTGTATTAATCACCTGGGAATCTTTTTCAACTTGCCTATGTTCAGCCCTGGCTGTTGTTGCTCAGTGGTTGGAGCATTGGCCTGTGCACCAGAGGGTCCGGGGATCGATTCCCGGTCAAGGGCATATACCTAGGTTGCAGGTTTGATCCAAGGGTGTGTGTGGGAGGCAACCAATGGTTGTGTCTCTCTCACATCAATGTTTCTCTCTCTTCTCTTCCCACCCTTTTTCCCCCTACCCCCTCCCTTCCACTCTTTTTAAAAAAAAAATCAATTGAAAAATATCCTCACTCCTGTTTTTATTTAACAAAAAGTAAAAACAATAAGCCTATGTTCCCTCTAACTCTGGAAGCTTGTTTTCTCAACTGAGGCATTATATATTCAGCATGTAGATGTATATGTTTATTGAGCACTTTCTATACTAAGCATTGAGGTGGACTAGGATGAAAAAAATGATTTGAGAACCATTGTTTTAAACTATTACTGGAAGAGTGAATTAGCTCTCCATTAAGTGGTTTTGACATTTTTATTTTCTGTTGTATTTTTTTAGATGTGATGGAAGACCTCTACAACTACATAAATCCACATAATGGCAAACACTCTCCCATGGTGGCCCAGTCAACACTGGATATTGTTTTGGCAAATAAAGATGTATGTGTAATGCTTTCCTGGTGAAAAAAAAATATTTTAAAATATATTTTTATTGATTTCAGAGAGGAAGGGAGAAGGAGAGAGAGAGAGAGAGAGAGAGAGAGAGAGAGAGAGAGAGAAAGAGAAACATCAATGATGAGAATCATTGATCGGCTGCCTTCTGCATGTCCCCTACTAGGGATTGAGCCCATAACACAGACATGTGCCCTTGGCAAGAATTGAACCCGGGAACCTTTGGTCCACAGGCTGATACTCTATCCACTGAGCAAAACTGGCTAGGGCATAGGTTCTTCTTTTTTTTTTTTTTAAAGCAACAGCACATTTTAAAAATGTAAATACTGCCGAACCGGTTTGGCTCAGTGGATAGAGCGTCGGCCTGCGGACTCGGGTCCCGGGTTCGATTCCGGTCAAGGGCACGTACCTTGGTTGCGGGCACATCCCCAGTAGGGGGCGTGCAGGAGGCAGCTGATCGATCTCTCTCATTGATGTTTCTAACTCTATCCCTCTCCCTTCTTTTCTGTAAAAAATCAATAAAATATATATATTTTTAAAAATGTAAATACTATGAAACATAGATAAGAAAGTAATTCTCTCTCCTCTGAATACTAGCTTTTCTCTTTAGAAACAACATTTTATTATTTTAAATGTATTTTTCTAGGGCTATTCTGTAATACACGTGTGCATACACATAAATTTTTCCTTTTAGTGGCAGTCTGTGCACAGTGTTCTTATTGATACTTTATTACAGATAGTTCTGTATTAGTATTTATGACTTAAACCTATTCTTTTGAAGAACTTCATAGCATTCTATTTTATAGAAATTTTGTGTGTGTGTGTGTGTGTGTGTGTGTGTGTGTGTGTGTGTGTTTATTTTTGTGAATATTTGTTTTCCATTTTTTGCTGAAGTGGATAAGTCCTTTAAGTGGAATTGCTTAGGCAAAGAGTGTGTGCATTCAAAATATTAGGGAACATTGCCAAACTAATTCCTAACAAGGTTGCTCAGGTAAAAATTTGAAAGATCTTGCTCAACAACTTAAAAGTGATCTACTTGAGTATATGTTTTTAAGCCTAATTAGGATACTCAATTTATATAAATTTTTTTAAATTAACATTAGTTGTGGATTTCTGTTCTATAACAATAATACTTAGTGGTACCTCTTTTTTATCCTATGTCATTTTTAATTCTGGAGTCAGGGCTGAACTGTTGATTTTGTGAAAATAAGTTTAATTATTTTAATTATGGGATCTTTTTTTATCTTCATCAGCGCCTGAATTCTGCCATTATCTATGACCGAGATTTCTCTTATAATTACTTTGGCTTTAAGGTAAATAATGGGTTTCAAATACATGGGAATTTCTCCTTAAGTCAGGAAATACAGGTTTTTGTTTATGTTTAGTGATACAATTATAAAGGCAGTAAGTTGATGGGAGTTGGGATGTACCTAGGGAATTAGTGGGGTAGATGGATAGTGGTTGTTTGAATTAAAGAAATATAGCTTACCCATTTGCAATTTTCAGAGTTTCCAAATATTACTTCTGGGTTACCTGAGGAGTTATACAGATAATTTGCCATAATGATTCCATATTGTTTTACTGTTTATGCAACAACTATTGAATCCCTACTGTGTGCCAAGTGCTTTTCTAGGTACTTTCGTGTTGATAAACTGTGATTGAGAACCTGAATGTTGGTGTTAGACCTGGGTTTGAATCTTGGCTCTACTTTTTTTTCCCTCTTTCCTTTTTTTAAATTTAATTTATTACTGCTTAACACAATTATACAAGTTTCATGTGCACAATTCCACAACACATCATCTATACATTATTTTGTGTGTTCACCACCCCAAGTCTCTTTCCATCACCATTTATGCCCCCATACCCTTCTCCACCTCTCCTCCTCAATCCTCCCCCTTGCAGTCACCACACTGTTGTCCATGTCTATGTATTTTTCTCTCTTTGTCTCAGTTCCTCCACTGCCACCTACTCCACACCCCAGGCTCTGCTCTACTTCTTAATAACAAGTTACTTAGTCTCTCTATGCTTATTTTCCTCATCTTTAGAATGGGGATAGTATAATAAATTTTTTTTTTCTTCAGAATCTTTTATTAAGCTTAACTAGAGGTCCGGTGCACAAAAATCGTGCACAGGGTGGGGTGGGGTGGGGGTCCCTCAGCCCAGCCTGCACCCTCTCCAGAGGTCCAGTGCACAAAAATCGTGCACGGGGTGGGGTGGGGGTCCCTCAGCCCAGCTGCACCCTCTCCATTCCAGGACATCCCTCTTGTAATCCGGTACCTCTGGCTTCTAACCGCTCGCCTGCCTGCCTGCCCAGTACCTCTGGCTTCTAACCGCTCGCCTGCCTGCCTGCCTGCCTGCCTGATTGCCCCTAACTGCCTTTGCTTGTCGGCCTGACCACCCCCTAACTGGTGCCCTGCCAGCCTGGTTGCCTGATCACCCCCTAACTGGTCCCCTGCCAACCTGTTCTCCCCCTAAAAGCCCCCCTGCTGGCCTGGCCACCCCTAACTGCCCCCCTGCCGGCCTGGCCTCCCCTAACTGCTTCCCTGCCAGCCTGATCGCCCCTAACTGCCTCTGCTTTGGCCCCCGCCACCGTGGCTTTGTCTGGAAGGATGACCGGAAGATGTCCGGTCTAATTAGCATATTACCCTTTTATTAGTATAGATCAGGGGTCCTCAAACTTTTTAAACAGGGGGCCAGTTCACTGTCCCTCAGACCGTTGGAGGGCCGGACTATAGTTTTAAAAAAAAACTATGAACAAATTCCTATGCACACTGCACATATCTTATTTTGAAGTAAAAAAACAAAACGGGAACAAATACAATATTTGTATTTGCATGTGGCCCGTGGGCCATAGTTTGAGGACCCCTGGTATAGATGGTCTACATCCCCAAATCATCTCTAGCCATTCTCCATCTTGCTTTGTACTCTCCAGACACAGTGACTCTCTTTTGCAAAAGTTATGATTTTTAGTCATTCAACCTTTATAATTCTGGCATTGCACAGTGGTTTCCATCTGTATAATATAATTTTAACAACAAATTCTGTTGAGGATAAGTGAGTATGTTGCTTAGATCAATGCCTAGCCTGTTTAAGTACTTTATACCTGTTAACCATTGTGATGATGGTGAATACTGTAACTTCTGCTATTGATGTTATGCATATTAATATAGAGCTAACTTTCTCCAGAAATTTTCATGCAGTCTTTTCCAAAACAAATAGCCAATTGATAATGTTCCAACTGAAGTTAGTAAGAGTAAATATATTATTATTATTTTCATTTAAAATTATATGAAAACTGAGAAGATTTAAATAGATTGACTTATTGTGAATGTAATATCTACTGTGTCTTTAAGAACGGTTCTGGAAGTTTTTTGGTTGCTTTGTTTTTTCTAGACGCTAGAACGGTCCTATTTGTTGAAGATCAATGGAAAAGGTGAGAATAAAGATGTTTGTGTGTTTTATTTTCTGTGCATTTGACTGAATATAGAGCTTCGAGCTATTTGCCTTAATATTTCTGTCTAAACTCTGACTAACATTTTTAACTTTAGGTCTAGTTTATGAATAATTGTCCTGCTTTTTTTTTTTAATTGTCCTGCTCTTTAAAATTGTTTTCTTTTTGACTCAGGTACATGTCTAGCCTAGTTTGTCTGACATGTTCCATCATGTGAAAACTCCTCTTTTGATTTTAGTGGCTGAAAGACCACAACATATGTTGATGAGGGTATCTGTGGGGATTCATGAAGAAGATATCGATGCTGCTATTGAAACATACAACCTTCTTTCTGAGAGGTGGTTCACCCATGCCTCTCCCACTCTCTTCAATGCTGGTACCAACCGCCCACAACTTTCTAGGTATGCATCATCTATAGTCAGTTTTAAAATTCTGAAATGGTTTTGACTAGGCAAATAAACGGCCTGAAAAACTAGGCAATTGATCACAGAAAGATTAATTTAATGAACATTTAAATCACTTCTGCTGTGATTAAATGAGACTTGCATTCTGGAAACATCTCTTTAGTGTGGTAAATGAATTAGAGGGGGACAAATGCTGATAATTTTAAGCTTGATTCCAGTGATGGTTACTCAATTCTGTGAATATACCAAAAGCCATTAATTGTACACATTAAATGGGGAATATTATGGTATGTGAATTTACATTTCAGTCAGGTTTTGAAAAAAGTAAATACTGCCTGGCCAGTATTGCTCAGTGGTTGAGCGTCGACCTATGAACCAGGAGGTCATGGTTCGATTCCAGGTTAGAACCCATGCCCGGGTTGCGGACTTGATCCCCAGTGTAGGACGTGCAGAGGCAGCTTATCAATGATTCTCATCATTGATAGTTCTATCTATCTCCCTCTCCCTTCCTCTCTGAAATCAATAAAATACATGTATATATGTGTGTATATGTATATGTGTGTGTGTGTGTGTGTGTGTGTGTGTGTGTATGTGTGTGTGTGCGTGTGTATATATATATAAAGAGCTAGAGTCTGTAACATCCACAACGACCGAAAGCTCAACTGAACACTGGAAGTCAGTGCTAGATTGCCGTGGCGACCCAGCACTGACTGCCAAGGGGGCTGCGGATCAGGCCCGGAGAGAGGCCCAAAGACAGAGGCAGGGTCTGATCTGCAGCTTCACTAGCAGCTGTTGATCAGCTGTTCCCTCTCTCTTTCTCTCTGGGCTTCACCAGCAACCGCACATCTGTTTTTCTCCGGGCCTCCTTGGGGGCTGCTGATCAGCCCCATCTCTTTGATCAGGCCCAGAGATAGGCTCATTGACTCTGACTGGCATTGAAACTGATCGATCAGAACCTATCTTGGTGAAGTGCCAGGAGGCAATGGCTGCCTAAGAAGCAGAGTTTTGGGCATCGAAACCAACCAATCAGAACTTAATCTGGGTGAACTGTGAAGGCAGAACCTAAGGTGGGGGCTGAGGAGGGGTTTTAAGGGCAACAGCTATTTGATGTAAGGAGCAAGAAAGCGGTTCAATTTTTTAATGACCACTTTGGCAGTATAGTGCATATGGCTGGCTATCAGTCCAGATATAGATGTCTGCAAAGAGCATCTCCTCCTGCTGAAAAAGGCTCTCCCCCCCTCCATTTTAAGCAATCCTATCCTACATAATCTATACTAATAAAAGGGTAATATGCTAATTAGACCGGGTTGACCGGCCATCTTCTGACGTCTGACTTCCTTCCGGACAAAGCCATGGTGGTGGGAGCCGAGGCAGAGGCATTTAGGGGTGATCAGGCCGGCAGGGGAGGGCTGTTGGGGATGAGATCAGGCTGGCACGGAGGGCAGTTAGGGGCGATCAGGCAGGCAGTCAGGTGAACGGTTAGGAGCCAGCAGTCCCATATTGTGAGAGGGTCCAGGCTGGACTGAGGGAACCCCCTCCCCCCACATGAATTTCATGCACCGGGCCACGTATATACTAATAAAAGCGTAATATGCTAATAATCCCGATGACCTTCTAGACGAAGCTGGGGCTGCGAGGGAAGGCCGGGTGCCGGAGGAAAGTGGTGCTGGCAGCTGGGGGAAGGAAGACCTACTCTTGCACGAATTTCGTGCATCGGGCCCCTAGTATCTATCTAGCTATATATATATGTAGAAGTAAATACTGCCAGCTAATTAAGGGATGTTTATAGTAGTCTGTACTAGAGATTATGGTAATTTGGATTAGGAGGTGAAAGTGGAGATGGATGTGGGAGCAGATGCAGGCACAGGGCAGCAGCCTGAGGAGGGCCAGGGGCCTGACGTGGTGGGGGCACGACAGGCAGGAACCCTGGCTGCTGCAGGATCTGGGTCCTGGGGGCTGCAGCCAAGAGAGCACAGCCTCGCCAGCCCGGGCAGTTTCCTAACAAAAGCCAGAGATTGTGCTGTCAGTGCAAAATCTCTGGTCCTAAAGCTGCGGCTGCCAGTTCTACTTCCAATCCTGGGCACGCCAGACCTCGGGGCTGTCGCCACCTCCTGCGGCTCCTCCCCCAGGCCTCCCTCGCGCCAGGCCTCTGTGGGGCCACTTGGCCGGGGCCACAGGGTTGGCGCGCCCAGATGCTCCAACTCTGCTTCCTGGGAGGCTCGTTCCAGAGGGCCGCCGAGTGGGCACCCCTACGAGGCTTCCCTGTCTGGAAATTAGGACCCACTTCCTCCTCTCCTCTTCCCGAGCTGTCCCTTTCCCTTTGTTGCAAACCTGACTTCATGCTGCCAAGAATTAAGCTGATGGCCAAGGTGGTAAGGTATGCTGTGGTGGTCAGAATGGTAGAGGATGCCCTGACCGGTTTGGCTTAGTGGATAGAGCGTCGGCCTTCGGACTGAAGGATCCCAGGTTCAATTCCGGTCAAGAGCATGTACCTTGGTTGTGGGTACATGCCCAGTAGGGAGTGTGCAGGAGGCAGCTGATTGATGTTTCTCTCTCATCGATGTTTCTAACTCTCTATCCCTCTCCCTTCCTCTCTGTAAAAAAAAAATCAATAAGAAAAAAAGCATGTAATATGCTCATGATATGCTAAGGCACTCAACCGCTTGCTATGATGTGCACTGACCACCAGGGGGTAGACAATGCAGGAGCTGCCCCCTGGTGGTAAGTACAGCTCAGCCAGAAGTCAGGCTCACAGCTGGAGCGGGCCTAAGCCGGCAGTCGGACATCCCCCGAGGGCTCCCAGACTGCAAGAAGGCGTGGGCCGGGCTGAAGGACCCCCCCCCCCCCAGTGCACAAATTTTGTGCACCAGGCCTCTAGTTGATGTATAAATTACTATATACCTTATTAAAGTTATAAATATAAACCTAACTATTCTTAAGCTTTTAATCTTAATTTTCAGATCTTATTTTATTTATGAATCAAGTGATTTTTATATAAAATAAGAAACATTTTTTTTAAGTTCATTAACTCAGAAATTTAATTTGAACTCTAATTACAAATTTAAAAGTCTGATTTTTTAAGGAACATCAAATTCCTAATAAAGCTGCTTTACAAATCTAACAAAATCTTCCAAGAACTCAAACTCCTGTTAATAGAATAATCTGACTTAAAAATTAACTAAATCAAATTATCTTATGTGGTTCAAACATTTTAAAAAGAAAATCAGCATATACAAACCTCATTAATTATAAAACCTTTATATATCCATGTAATTACAGCTTACACAAAAATATTACTAATGTAGTTTCAATTTACTTCTTCTCCGAAGACTAATATTCACTCACTATCCAAGGTAAACAGAATTATTTATCTTAGTCTTTCTGGAACTGAGTTAATACCTTGGGATTCTTGATTAAAGATCTGGGAATGGGACATAGGACTTTGGAATACTTTTCGTGATGGATATCTTTTGTTAGCTCCTTCAGATCCATTCGTCTTTCTTCTCTACCCAACTCTATACCCTGAGATACTGATTTGTATGGACTATATCAGTGGCTCCTGTGCCTTTAGGTTTTCAGGTTGGAGTAGGGGTGGACAATGGGCAGCCTCAGCAGGAAATCAAAGAGAGGGAGGAGAGGGAGACAAAGGTATTGGTTTCCATACCAGGTTGGCATATGCTGGCTGTGTCTACCACTCTTTTCAAGACAACCCTTTCTAAACGCGTTTTGTTTTTTTTGCCCTGGGGTTGGGGAGGGTTGGTGAGTGAGTGGATGGGGGTTAGAACTAAACTTGTTTCTCTAGCTTACAGTGACAATGTCTCTGCTGCTACCTGGGTTACTGAACTATCCCTTTATTTCTCTACATCTTTACTTCTATAAATAGTCCTTTTGTAAATTTGAGACAGTGTGATTTCCCCTAATGGAACCCTAGGTCCTCCAGCGGCTGCATGACAAGCTGGACCCCAGCCCACTGAGGAACACAGTGGCCAATGCTCTCGTGTACCACCAAAATGAGCCTGCAGCCTAGCCTACAGAGTCCACAGACAGAGCTGCAGTCAGACTTCCAGTGCATTGTGGGCTTTGGGGACATTCACTCCACACCATCCACTGTTCTCAGTGACCAGGCCAAGTACTTGAAACCCTTGCTGGGAGAGTGAAAGCACTTCACCGCCTCCTTGGTCCCCCAGATGTCCAACCAGGGCATCGCAGTGCTCAACAACTTTGTGTATCTGATTGGAGGGGACAACAATGTCCAGGGATTCCGTGCTGAGTCCCGATGCTGGAGATATGACGTGCAGCACAACCACTGATTCCAGATCCAGTCCCTGCAGCAGGAGCACGCCAACCTGTGTGTGTGTGTTGTGGCCGGGTACATCTATGCAGTGGCAGGCTGTGACTACCACACTGACCTGAATGCTACGGAGCGCTATGACCCTGCCACCAACACCTGGGCCTATGTGGCCTCACTCAAGAGGGAGGTGTATGCCCATGCTGGTGCCACACTGGAGGGGAAGATATACATTACCTACACCCACAGAGAGGAGGACTACCTAAGGGAGACGCACTGCTATGACCCAGACAGCAACACCTGGCACACTCTGCTGGATGGGCCTATGCAACGGGCCTGGCACAGTATGGCCCCCCTCCTGGACAAGCTGTATGTGATTGGGGGCAGCAACAATGATGCTGGCTACAGAAGGGATGTGTACCAGGTGGCCTGCTACAGCTACACATCTGGGCAGTGTTCATCTGTCTGCCCACTCCCAGCAGGGCATGGTGAGCCTGGCATTGATGTGCTGGACAACAGGATCTATGTGCTGAGTGGCTGCTCACACAACCGTGGCAGCTGCACGGGCTACATGCACATCTATGATATGGAGAAGGACTGCTGGGAGGAGGGGCCCCGGCTGGACAACTCCATCTTGGGCCTGGCAGCCTGTGTGCTCACCCTGCCCCATTCCCTGCTCCTGGAGCCATCTCATGGGACCCCTGACAGCCAGGCCGACCTGGACTTCGCCTTGGAGGTTATGAATGTGTCTGACTGGGAGGAGTTTAACAACTCCATCGAAGATTAGGGCTCTGGGGCTGGTGTCAACGGGAAGGGAAGGGTGGCAGGAGCTCGGAGGGTAGCCCAGGCCTGAGCATTTTGCCCCAGGGCATTGAGACCCTTCTGCACCCCCAGCCGGCTGGCTCTTGCCACCCTACCTTCACACCAGCCTAACTGCCAGCTTGCAGCAGGTCTTTGTAGAGCTCTGTTGACCCTGGCTGTGGATCACCATGCAGGGGGAAGTGTTCGGGAAGGCTCTGGTCCCCTGAAGGGGTTTACCAGGCCTGCTGCTTCTCAGCTCACGCAGGGTGTGCCATCACCAGCTGTCTTGGCCTCCCTGGTTCTGGTCCCTCCTGGGCTGAGAAGGTGTCCTCCAAAGGGATCTGTGCACTGGCACCTGGGTGAGGCGGCTAAGGTATATTGAGCCCCCTTCTGTGGGCAGGCGTAGGGCCCCTCACCTACCCAGCAGCTAGGAGAGCAATTGAGAGCTCCCAAGCACTGGAGAGGGAGCAGAGTTGCATAAGGTTGCTTGAGACTGGTTCTAGTGATAAGAAGATCCCCTACAATTGGGCTTTTCTGACCCCATGTTGTTGATAAATGAAAAAATAAATCATACAAAAAACAACAACAAAACAATATGATATGTTGATATGTTTTACTATCATAGCTGGTAACAGTATATATTTTTTCTTCTACAAATACCTAGTAATTTTGTAAACTTCAAATCTTTTATTTGCCTAACTTACTGTCTTTGGATTATGTAGTTATTTCTGTGACTCTGCTTTGCTTCATTTCCTTCATAAGTTGTGACTTCTTTCCCCTATAGCTGTTTCCTTCTGAGTATGAAAGATGATAGTATTGAAGGCATTTATGACACACTAAAGCAGTGTGCATTGATTTCCAAGTCTGCTGGGGGAATTGGTGTTGCTGTGAGCTGTATTCGAGCTACTGGCAGCTACATTGCTGGGGTAAGCTTCTATTGTATGATTAAAAATGTATAGACTAGAGAAATTCAAGTCCATAAGCAACCAAGCTTATGGTTGAGAGGGCATATGCTGAGGCTTGGTAGATCTAAGTCTGTTAGTTACTGGCTGATTGTGTGACTTGGAGTGAGTCATTTCACTGCTTGTGACCTCATTTTCATCTATCTTATTAAAGGTTTAGTATAGATGATCTCTAGGATCCTTTTTATCTGAGATTTTGATTTATTTTATATTTTAGAATTCTGGTTTATCTATATACTAGAGGCCCGGTGCACGAAATTCATGCACGGGGGAGGGATCCCCTCAGCCCAGCATGCACCCTCTCCAATCCGGGACATCCCTCTCACAATCTGGGACCGCTGGCTCCTAACTGCTCACCTGCCTGCCTGCCTGATTGCCCCTAACTGTCCCCACCCCCTGCCAGCCTGATCACCCCTAACTGCCTCTGCCTGCCTGCCTGCCCCTAACTGCCTCTCCTGCCAGCCTAATCACCCCTAACCGCCTCTGCCTGCCGGCCTGATCACCCCTAACTGCCACCCCTACAGGCCTGGTCGCTCCCAATTGCGCCCCCCCCCACTGGCCTGGTTGCCCCCAAATGCCCCCCTCGCCAGCCTGGTTGCCCCTAATTGCCCCCCACTCCTCGCTGGCCTGGTCGCTCCTTCCTGCCAGTCTGGTCGCCCCCAACTGCCCTCCCCTGCCAGCCTGGTCACTCCCAAATGCCCTCCCCTGCAGGCCTGGTCCCTCCCAACTGCCCTC